TGTCCTTTTGTTCTTCAGTCTAGTTGTGGAGGACGTCGCTTCACTGGCCCATGTTGGTATTGTGATCATTGTGCTCTTCCTGGGTGAGGCAGATCGGTTGCCGGCCACTGGATGGCCGCTCATGGCAGCTCTTGGCAGCTCTTGGGGCTGCCAGCTGCTCATGCCGGCTGCCAGCTAATCACAGTAGCACAGCAGCCACTGCAGCAGAGGCTGCAGCCTACGCCTTCGCTGGCGACTCATCGCAGCCCAGCTCCAGGTCAAACTGTTGTTCACCATCTTAGCTGTAGAAGGCTCAGCGTCACTGGCCCATATGTGGGATCCGTACCGGGGCTCTGCTGCTCAGAGCTGGCGTCCCAAGCCAACTCCTAACCAATGCGCCACTCGGCTGGCCCAAGCATTTTCCATTTTGATGTTTTTCATATTTTCATCTACCCTAAGATGCACATTTATTACACATTGTAACATAAAAATTGGGATACATCTTAAAATATTTGGTGTGTCATAGTTTGATAAATGACGTGGGGTTTTTTTGTTTTGTTTTTGCGTGATATGTTAGTACCTTTTAGATTTTATGAAATGCGGTAGTGTATCTGTATAATTTTGCATGGCTGTACTTTACCAGTGAGCATGTCATAATTTCCTTTGTCCTTATCTGACTTTGGGTTAGTTCCATTTCTTGGCTCTTAAAATGTTAATATGTGGGAATGAGTTGCACTATTTTATACAATCCTCCAGTAAAGAATGACTTTGCAAATTTTATGCCAGTGTAGGAATTATTTTTAAGTGCTTTGCTAATTTAATAAGTGCAAAATGGTATTTTATTTTAATATATGTGTATTTTTTCTAGAATTTTATTTAACTAGGCTTACTTTATTTTTATTTTTTTGTTGGCAGTTTTATATTCTCTAGTCATCCATCTATCTTTTGTGATTTGCGTCTGTTTCTTCAAAGCTAATTTTCTATGACATAATAGTTTACGTTTAACTTTTAACTTTGCCTTGCAGTTATTTTGATACAATGCAGTAGTGTTTGTGTAGTGAGGTAGCCGAATTATCTTCTATTCAAAGCCAACATGCTTTATAAAAAAGGATATAGGGTATTTGTACTCAGTGTTAATTGCTTTTTAAGTATTAATAACAGTTTAGTTCTTAAAATAAGGAATTCTTTACCTCAGTTTACAGCTGAGGTACAGTTTACAGTTGACACTCAGATGAATTAAGAAATTTTCCCACTATCACACAATTGTTAATGTTAGAGCTGGGTTTTGAATTCAGGTGTGATTCTAGAACAGTGGTTCTCAACCTGTGGGTCGCGACCCTTTCACAGGGGTCGCCTAAGACCATAGGAAAACAAAAAGATATTTACATTATGATTCATAACAGTAGCTAAATTACAGTTATAGAGTAGCAACGAAAATAATTTTATGGTTGGGGGGTCACCACAACATGAGGAACTGTATTAAGGGGTTGCGGCATTAGGAAGGTTGAGAACCACTGTTCTAGAGTGTCAACCATTATATGTGGGTTTTTTTTTTTTTTTAAAGATTTTTATTGGGGAATTGGGAGGATGGGAATAGAGCTGGGGAATTGGGGAGGGGGAACAGACAAGATGCTGTCGTTTTTTTGTTCTTCAGTCTAGTTGTGGAGGATGTTGCTTCACTGGCCCAAGTTGGCACCATCATTGCGCTCTTCCCGGGCGAGGCAGATCAGTCACCG